GGATTTAACTCAAAAAGTTTATTACAACAGCAGTGTCTAGACTTTCACTTGCGTAAATCGTTCGTGACCACTAAGATATTTAACACCGATTTTACATATTTAACCCACCTCTTTTAGGTGCGTTAAAACAACTCTGTATGCGCATTGTAGTGTGTTAATGTCAAATTTGAATTGTGGATATTTGTGTTGTGTTTATAAAAAGATGTTTTATTTACATTTAAAAAAGAACCTCTTACGGGTTTTTAATTAATTTCGTCATATTTGTGATAAAAATTTCCGCCATTTGAGGTCCACCATTTTGAATTTTGGAATTCTGATTCCAGATTTTTTATCAGCGACCACAAAAACCCCTGTATGGTGATTTTCAATTTATTCTGTCAATTTTTTTACAAACATGTCCGCCATTTTTGATTTACCATTTTGAATTTTGGAGTTCTGATTCCAGATTTATTACCAGCGACCACAAAAACCCCTGTATGGTGATTTTCAATTTATTCCGTCAATTTTTTGACAAATATGTCCGCCATTTTGGATCTACCATTTTGAATTTTGAAATTCTAATTCCAGACTCGTTATCAGCAACCCCAAAAACTTCTATGTACGGATTTTTAGGAGAATCCGACTACTCCTTGATATTTTGCCGAAAATTTCGAGAATTGAAACACTGTGCGCCGGAAGAGATACGTGTGTCGGGCCGCACGCGGCCGATTCGGCAAAACGTATTCAGGCCGTATGCGGGCCGGCTAGCTTGTGCTTACTGGGTAACCCAGTCTGGGTTACTATAGTGTAATGAAATGAGAGAAAAAATGCGTCTGACAATACAGAGAGCTCTCGCCTAGGTTAAACATAGCTTTAAAAATTGCTAGGAGACGATAGAACATTGTTGTCTTAAAACTTTTAAAAATGTTTTGTCCGACTGTGTTTACTTTCAATAATGAATGTCATACTTCAGGGCCCCAATGTTTTAAACTAAAAATTAAACTACTAGTTCTGTACCCGAGTCAAAATCTCTAGCAACCACTACAGAATTCCACTCTAGCGCCCAGTAAGCACAAGCTAGCCATACGGCATGAATACGCTTTGACGAGTCGGCCGCGTGCGGCCCGTCACACGTATTTCTTCCGGCGTGTAGAACGGGCTGTGTATAGTTTGCCGAGTGCCGGCCACAACCACCTGGCCATTCAAAAAAAGCCTACACACGTCCTGGAGAGGTTTATCCTATAAGTTCTCTGAATGGCAAGATACTTCTTTAACAAACTCGACTAGCTGGACATTATTCGTTACTCAGCAGATGAGGATGGAGATGGGGACTCCAAACAATTAATGTTCAGCTATGCCATTACGGAGGCACACTTCCAACTAAATATTGCAACCAATCGCTATTTATAGTTAGCTCGCGTGCGTAAGCAGCCGTGAGATGTATCGCTTTTGCCGCGGCAGGCCGTATTCCAGCCGTAAGCGGGCCGGCTTAGGCAAGCCAAAGGATTTTGCAGCGGCATGCCGTATTCTGACCGACTTCGGTTAGAACATGGCTAAACGGTACCGGGGTAACATAACGCGGGCCGTAAGCGGGCCGGCTGGGGCAAGCCGAACCGCCGGTCAAGCGCCTATGCCGAGCGAAGGCCGACTGTTTGCCGAGTGTTTGGTTCTTACTGGGGTGATTATCTTCCTGTCGAACTCGTGTAAAATAAACGACCTTCATAACCCTCTGAACTGTTAAGGGAAATTCGCGTGCAACTTCCCTTATGCTCTTCCTACTATTTACATCAAAGCCCTGCTTAAAATACCCCATAGAGACCCTGTTCAAACCGATAGATATTTGTATTGGAATGTATGGTGTTTCTATAGGGTGTATCGGTATGTATAGGACCCATAGTTGGGATTTATGGTTGTTCTATAGGGATATCCACCCTTGATTTATTTGCTATTGGTTTCAATGGGGAAAATACACATAAATGTAGAAATTAGTTTTTCCCCCATAGATTTTAATAAAATTTTGACAAATGTTTTATGGTTGCTCTATAGGGATATCCATATATATCCTTCATTGAGTTATTTGCTATCGGTCTCAATAGGGAAAATGTAAAAGTTATGGTGTGCCTATAGGTAATTTCCTATACATTTTCTATCGGGCCGTATCCGGAAAAAACCATGGACAAATGCACATATTGAATCCGGTAGCGCCCGATAGATTATTTTGTATAGGTCTCTATGGGGTATTTTAAGCAGGGAGGCATTGAAAATAGTATAAACATCGATTTCTTAACATGTATGTTCACCCAACGACAACCCAAACATCACCTATGTTTAAGGCTAATCCGTTTCTCATATGTTGAAAGTCTTGATAAATGTTTCTACTAGAAACTTTCTAGGACACAGTATATTAGTTTTATATTCTTTTTCTATGTTTATAAGCTAAAAATCGCAGATCGTAAACTGAAATTGTGTTAGATAATTATTTTAAAAATCATATATTTAATTTATTAAATAAACTTCAAAACAACTTGGGAAAATCCACAATTTCTAAAAATACTTGAGAAAAACGTTTTATGCTGAACTAGCCAAACCCTTGTCAAAGAAACTCCCAAATTTTGAGTTTTTACACTCAAGTTATACTCTATTTAGGTGTAACACTTAATTTGGTGTAACACTCAAATAAATCTAAACTCTCAAAATTAAAGCCACACCCAAATTGTATTATACTCAATTTAGGTGTAACTCTAAACATAAGTGTTTAGATTTATTTGAGGGCTCAAATGACTATATTTGGCAATTTGCACCGTGATCGCTTTTTATTTTTTTGGCTTAGTCAAAATCTAGCTGTTATAATGGTTGGTGCACTGCACGTGCTATTACTACAAGTTTAATTTTATTTCATTGTTTTTTTCATGGATAACTTGACAGAATAAATTTTTGTAGTTATTATTGTGCATTTTTCTACTTAAAATTTTTCAATACAATTTAGTTAAGGGTCATTTTGAGGGGGTGTCCACTGAACATTATGGATGTGGTGATGTCACAGTGACGTTTAAAAATTGTCAATTTTAAGGCACATTAACTACGTTTTTTAGTGATGTTCAATTTACGTAAAAATTACGCTAAAAAATAAAAGGTGCTGTCGAGCAAGTCACTATACCGTCCAATCTATGCCTTTTATTTTACTTTAGCGTATTAGGTGCAAAACACAACGTACATTTTACGTCACCAATGTGACACATGATAAATATGAATGGGATAGGTTTGCCAATGATGAACATTAAATGCCAATGATGAACATTAAAATACGCCACAAAATATGCCACATTTACATTTTTGTTGGAAATTTGAGTGTACGTATACTTGTATAATTAAATACCGAATTTAATTCATAATTTTAGATTAAACCGAAGGTAGATACTTACTTAGAAACCAATGTAAGTAGGTACAATTATTATTTTAATGACTTATTATACCTAAACCCCAGAGTGATTTATTAATTAATATTACCGCTTATAAAATAATAATTATTCTATTATTATCGCATAGTAAGATTAAGAAACGTATATTTTATGTAAAATTTACGTAAAAAAGTACTCGGGTAATTTCGTTTCCAGTCGATATATCGGTATAAAAGGGGCCCTGTAACAGGGCATACTCTGTTTGCGTTGCGACTGCCATTGTTCTGTGTTCAACAAATTGTGTTGCCATTTGTGCTGTGTGATAGAAAACGCATTGTTCTCCATAGGCGAGACTGAACAGTTTAGGTAAGTTGGCTTTATCATTTGTTTGCAACCATACGGTTATAATATAATTAATTAATTGTCCCAATATCGCCATGATGGCGCTATTATAATAGCGCCATTATAGTGGTTATCGAATTTTGTTGATTTAAATGTTAGCGTTGAGTGAGAAGTAATATTAATCAATGCTGTTAGACTTAAAGAAAAGTCTTTTAATCAATTTGATTTTTCAGTTAATACACCAGTGAACATGGGAGACAAATTTTGCGCAGAGCGACAGGCAAGTTATATAAGTTTTATATTCTTAATTACTTAGATAACTTAAGTTATTAATGTTTGTTTTAGAAGCCAGTATGAAATTATTTCGTCTGACTGAAAGTGATTTCGATAAAGAGAGCAAGGAGCTATTCCAAACCGCCAAGTAACGCTCATAACGTTTTTTGGCCAAATTTGGACATGAGAATGAGGCCGAAAATGAATTAGGCGGTATGTTTTATTTTTATTATTTTATTTATTATTTTTACCAGAATAATAATGTTTCATTTTTATAATTTATTTTAATAAAAAAATATATTTCCAAAGTGGTAGTTTTATTAAAAAAACGTAACTAATATGTACAAGTTGAAACAAAACCTATACGTCCATATTAAAATTACATTTTTACGTCCTTTTAAAAACGTAATTTACGTCTCCTTATCCACGTAACGGTTAGGGCTAATTCACGGCCCAGGATCCGGACATAGGCACATCACAGCGACGTTTACGTGACGTTTATTTTACAAGATTCTTATACGTCACACTACAACCTTTGACGTTAATTTTACATATATTTTACGTTTTTTTGCTCAGTGGGTGGTGAATCCAGTGCCGTTTAAAAAAATCTAATATATATAATATATCTAAGCTAATATGAATTCTTAAAAATGTAGGCCTTGTATTTTGTAAAAATATGGCGTTTTTTATCAAGATCTACTTTAAAACAAATTCGGTTAAAATCTCAATAAAGAAAGATTTTACAGGGGTGAGTCGCAAACAAATGGGTCACACTGTATATACCCAGTATTATTTTTAGAAAATAAAACTTTTTTATTATTTTGGATACCTTAATAAAGGAAAACAAAATATAAATTCAACAAAATTATATTTTATTACAAATAAAAAATAAAACTATATAATAATAGATCAACAATGTTTTTTTCTCTTGAAAAAAATTAACACAAATTTATATACTTCAGTCGTTTTTTTAACATTTTTGTCAGTCTTATGTTAATTTTTTTCTTACAATTGTAGTACAATTACATTTCAATATAATTAAAATAAATAAATAAATTCTATTATAATGTTGTAAAAATAAACATAATGTTGTTATTTTGTAAAAAACAGTCTCAAAATGTCAAAAATTGACTCGAAAATTTGCCTGAACAAAAAACAAAACACTAGGAAACAAAAACTAAAGTAATTGATTATTGTGAGGGGCAAATTTGAGATAAAAAATACAAACAAAAACAGCGGTTTAAAGTAAGAAAAACGATTTTTCAAAAACTTTTTTCAAGTCAAAATACCCCTTAAAATACAAAGTAAAATCGTAACAAAAACGTAACACAAAACCTTAAAAAATCGAGCAAATTTTCGAGCCAAAATCCAAACAAAAAAAATAAAATTTGTCAATCATTCAGTAGAAAAATGAATTTTGAAAAAAACTGTCGCCTGCTCCCATGTTACTGTTACTGCGTAACGGCGTGTTCAGTGCGTTACAAGTGTAACGGGTGCCAAATCTGTTCGGAATTGCGTTACGCAAATTTAAGTCTCTGATTGGCGGCATCAAGCCCCGCATTTGGGCAAAATTCGCTGCAAAAAATATAAATAAAAAAAACAAAAACTAAAAAGAGATTTTTTTCTTTATTTTGTTTTTTTTTTGTAAAGGGTGTCACAGCAAAAACTTAAATTTTCAGGAAAAAGCTCTATAGGTCTTAAATCAGAATTTCAGAAGTCCAAAACATCATTAAGCATGTTTTTGTAATTCAAAATTCAACTTTTTGTTTACACAACCTTTATAAAACTTATTCTAAAATTAAAATGTAAAAAATATCTTTTTTATTTTTGAAATTTTAATAAAATAAATCCTGTAAATTTATCCATTGAATGTAAATTTTGGTAAGTCAATCACACCCAGTCAGTTCAAAAAGGTCGACAATGATGAATAATAAGTTTGGAATAATAAAGAATATAATATATAAGTCAAAATATACATTAAAATTGTTTGGGGGAAAATGTTAGTTTTGCTCAAAAATGCTAAATACAAAAAAAAAACCCCTATACATTTGCAAATATTTAGTTTAAACTATATTTTTTGTACAAATTAATTATAAAAATACAATATGGTCCAAAATGTTAGTAGAGGCTGCACAAAAAAATTATAAATTTATTTTGGACCACCCTGTATAATCCTAACGTGTCCTTGATGACTTTATGCACAAAGCATAGTTAATATTTGAAGAGGCAACAAAATTTTTATGATAATATTAAACGGTTTTAGGACACTAAAGCAATTAGAGATACATATACTGTTAAAAAGATTTAGTGCAGAAAGATTTTTGACATTTTTATAGATGGTTCTAAAGGAACTTTTAAAACATCTACAAGACAGTTTCTAAAACATTTTGGACAATTTGGGACATTTAGGACACTTTTAGACTGTTTATGACAGCTATTTTTACAGAACAAGGACAATTGTAGGTTTTGGGACACATACGCATATATTTTAGATTATAATAGGACACTTATAGATAAATTTAGGACGTTTTTGCATTATTTTAAGACAGATGACATTTTAGATTGTTCTATCATTTTTAAAAAGTTTTAGGACACTTTTAATCAGATTTAGGACATTTAAGATAGATTTTAAGTCAGTTCCAATTAAGGACAATTTTGGACCATTTTAAGGGATTTTTAGAATATGTTTTGTTTGATATAAGACATTCTAGATAATAATAGGAAATGTTAAATTGTTATAGGAGACTTTTAGACAATTTAGGATATTTAAAATAGTTCTAAGGCAGTTCCAAGATATTAGAAAATTTTGGACAATTTTGGACCATTTTAAGATAGTTTTGGGACATGTTTAGGTCGATATAAGACATTCTAGACAGTAACAGGAAATTTTAGATTGTTATAAAACGACTTTTGAATATATTTAAGAATTAGACTGTTTTATCAAGGTTTTGGATGTTCTAAGACAATTTTAAATACACTGCGCGTCAAAATTAACGCATAATAAGTAAAAAAATTCCAACTCTAAAACTCCTTTACCAATCTATGAAATTTTGTATAAAAATACTTTAACTTATGGGCGATTCCGCGGGAGACGATTTTTGACATACATTTTTAAATCACAGAGTTTATTACTTTTTTTATACCAATACAAAGAGAAAGATATATATTTAATAATAAAAAAACTTTTAAGAACTTAAGTTATTATTTGAATTTTTTGGCGCGCTCAGAAATGGTGGCGCCTGAAGACTTGATGCAAACTATTCATCGACACTTGATAATTTTTCCACGAAATCGCTATTACCGGTGGTTTGAGGTTATATTTCACTGATTAATATTGAAGTCATAACATTTGTTTATTGCCTTATATAAAAAAATTAAATATTTTTTATTATTTTTCTAACAATATTAATTAAATAAGAAACCATTGTTGGTCAGTTGCACCCGCGATATAAAAGAAATGAAAGTTTGGTTTTCTTGAAGAAATAAATTGGTAATTTTTTGAAACTTTGTAGAAGTAAGAAGAAATAAAAGGAAAACTTGATTCTGTCGCAATAGAACGTAAGTTGTCATTTTAATTAAAATTAACGTTGACTAAAATGAGTTGCACCCGCGATTAAAATATTAGAATCGCGGGTGCAACAGTTATGACTCTTACGATTACATTAGGGAATTTTTAGCGAGTTACCGGTAAATTACCGGCGGTAATAAAAAGTTAAAACCATTCTATTTTAGCGAGTAACCGGTAACTGCATAAAATGTCAAATCAGTAACCGCGGTTAATAATTGAGCTCGGAAAGCAATTGTTAACAACGCTGAAGAATTTTATGATCTGGCTCGTCCAGTGTTGCCACCCCTATTACTTTAGTAATAGATCTGTTACTTTTAGCGAAAATATATTACCCTATTACGAAACGATGTAAATCTATTACTTTTTTCTTTCCTAGTAGGAATTTTTTTTAATATTCTATTGTGGTCCTTGCCAGACAGCCCACAAAAGATTATTGTCGCAGCGCATCAAAACTATTGTAGAATTAAATTTTTCTTGGTTTTTATAATATAAGTGTATTAAATGTTGTTTATTATTTAAAAAAAATAAAAAATAAAGAGTTAATTAAAATAAACTTATTGTTTATTCAAAATATAAGATTTTGTTAATACTGGGTAGTTTTATTCCCTTGTGCAATTTGATTTACATGAAATTATAGTACATTTTAATTTTATCTTACATATGATTTCGTACATTGTAGGTACGTAGGTATAATTATAATCGTACAAAAAGGATAATTATTCTTTCTATGGAAAATTATCGTACGTCTGGCAACACTGCTTAAGTGTTTGACGTTTGTTGTGTGCTTAAATTTGTGTTTATAAAGTTTTTATTAAAATAGCATAGCACAGATCATAAAGCATCATGTAAAAATTCAATGTTATTCTAATCACAACGGTAGAACGTCAAAGAATAAAAAAAATTTGATTTAAAATAGTCTATTACCTTAAATCCCAAATCTATTACATTTTGACGCATGCGTCTATTACGAAAAAAAAGTTATAGGTGGCAACACTGGGCTCGTCGCCTTTCTCCAAAAATTTCTTTTATATTTGTATCCCAAAAACAAATTAAAGAATGAAAAACCATGTTAAATGATAGGTGGAAAGGACTAAACAATATACCAGCCATTTAATCAAAACATTTTTTTCAATTTGAGGAGGGTAAGAGCATTTGTGTTGCACGAACGTCGAAGTCTAATTTGAAAAGCAAATTAGTTTTGACAACTGCTACTAAAAAAAAACGTAGAAAAGTTACAAAAAAAGTTACGCAAAAGTTAGGCGTTTCTGATGTTTACAGCGATTCTGAAGAAAACCTTAAGGCTGATAAATCGCCGACTATTCCAAACAAATAATTTATTAAAGTTACATAGGAAAGTGCTAATTAGTGATAATACAGCATCTATGATCTCATATCTTTAATTTAAAGTTACATGGAAATGTTTATATTCACTACAGTGAGACGTGTTGCACCCGCGATAATTTTATGTTGCACCCGCGACTGGATAAAAAGTGAATAATTTATAATATTTATTTATTTTAATAATTTTATTTAAGTTAATAGTTAGTTTGTTTTGTATTCTTTTAGAGAATGTAAAAATAATTTAATAAATATTCCATAATTAACAGACTTTTTTCATTCTAGCTTCATGAACTTTAATGGTGGGCCGATTTCGTTGCACCCGCGATAGCACTTTGAACCTCTCCTGTGTCTATTTATACATTTTATTAAATGTTTTTTATATTAATTTTTGTAAAACAGATTATAATGAAATCCTGCGACCAGTCATTTCTTTAAAAAGAGTTTTTATTTTCTTAGTAAGAAGCCTTAAGTGAGTCTAAATGTTGCACCCGCGGGTACGGAATCGCCCTTATATCTCAGTTAACATGTTCGAGGGTTTTTCGAGAAAATATTTTTAAAGCCCTTTTATTTAATATTAAAAAAAAAACGTTCGATAACTTTAAGGGATTTTTTTTAAGTAAATAAAAAATATGCTGTTAAAGACCGTATTTTTGTTAGTATACCCTGAAAATTTTTTACAAATCAAAGAACAGTAACAAAGATACAGCGCTTCAAATTTGGTAAAAATGACCTCTTTTTGATTATTTTGCTGAAAATTGGTCATTTTTGACGCGCTGTATTTTTGTTACTGTTCGTTTGATTTGTACAACATTTTCAGGGTATACTAACAAAAATACGGTCTTTAACAGCATATTTTTTATTTACTTAAAAAAAATCCCTTAAAGTTATCGAACGTTTTTTTTATTATTAAAAGGGCCTTAAAAATATTCTCTCGACTTTGCACCCCGCGGGTGACTTTAACCCATTTATGAAAAATCTTTTCGCGCTCGATAAAATTAACATTTATAATTTGTTGGTCTGAACCTGTCAATTGAGCGATTCTATTGAGTTTATATTACAGGAAAATCAGTGTTTTAAAGAAAGAAATGGGATTTATTACACTTTAAAATTGTATATATCGCATCAGTGCAAAACTAGAAATACACGCGTTACAATTTCTATATTATGCGCAATCCTTTGGAATGATGATCCTTGGTTAACTACAGGTCGATTTTTTATTTTTTTTATCGGTAATCCCTAATAAAAATAAAATATAATATTGAATTCATTTTATACGGAAAATACACTGTGAGACAAAGTAACCCGCAACCAGGGGGAACTTTGCACACCCAGTTTTTAATTTTTATTTTTGAAACTCAGCCCTATGTAATATTATAACATAGTTATTATTAGAGATGGGAATCGGAAAGTTTCCATTTTAAGGAAACTTTCCGTTTTGGAAAGTTTCCAATTGGGAATATATTTTCATTTTGAAAGTTTCTTTTAAGCTACCGGAAGCATTCCTTGGAAACATTCCTTGGAAACTTTCCTTTTTTTTTCATTTAAATGTCAATTGTTTAACCGCTGATTTTCGTTAAGGCCATGATACAAGGCCAAGAAACTTTGAATAAGAATTTAATGTGTGTTAATTTAAGGCAGAAGAAGAAGTATAAATAATGTAAGTTATGTTACATAACCTCAATGAAACCGGATTATTCAGCATCACCACAAAAAACCCTGGCATAAAAAAAATATTTTCGCAATAAAATTTTTTTTTAAACTTTCGGAAAATTTCGGGAATTTTCGATGGAAAGTTTCCGGGAATTTTCGTCAAATGGGAATTTTCCCATCTCTAGTTATTATATAAGAGCAACTCAAGACTCAAATTTTGGTATACAAAATTTAATGTTTATGATTATTAAAACCACAAAAATTTTAAGCTTAAGTTTGAAAGTGAGCTAAAGCCACCCGTGTTTACGGTATACTAACAAACAGCATATTTTTTATTTCCCTATAAGTTTTTTTTGAGCGTTTTTTATTATTAAATAAAAGGGCTTTAAGGATATTTTCTCAGAAAACCCTTGAATACGTAAAATGATATATAAGTTAAGTATTTTTATCCAAAATATTTTAAAGATTGGTAAAGGCGTTTTAGAGTTGGATTTTTTATTACTTGTTATGCGTTAATTTTGACGCGCTGTGTAGTTATATGACGCTGTTATACATTTTTGGACATTTTAGATTGGGTTCTAAGGCAGTCCTAAGTTTAAGGACATTTTTAGATTGACATAAGACATTTTAGATAATTATAAGAAATTTTAGAATGTTATAGGGCTCTATTAGACATTTTAGACAGAAAAGAACACCATTGAACCGATGTAGACCATTATAGGAGGTTCTTACAGAAGTGTAAAGATTAAGGACAGTTTTAATATGATTTTAAAACAATTTAGACAGTTTTAATTTTAAGAACATTTTATACAGTTCAATGAAAGATTTGTGATTTATGGATTTTTGTAGTTTTTTTTAGATACGAGTTGTTTTAGAACATTTTTAGACAGTTCTAAATCATTTTTAATAGTCCCTATTAATGTAAACTTGTAAGTTGTATCTAAAATTAACAACATAATAAATAATTAGCTTAAACATTTCAGCAAATATAATAAAAGCGGGTTAGTTATAAAATATCAAAACAAAATGGCGTAAAATTTTTGAAAATCGACATTGAAAAAATAATAGTAAATTTAAGCCTAAAATAGTAAGAATTGTTACCAACAAATATTTGCTAAGCTTTGTGTAAATTTAAGCCTAAAATAGTAAGAATTGTTACCAACAAATATTTGCTAAGCTTTGTGCCATTAACGTTGTAAAATGTTAATTCCTAAGCTCAAAAATCTAGAAGATAAAACAAAAAAAATCCCTAAATAAATATAGTGTTTATTCTAGTTAATATGTACAATTTTCTCAAAAAACACGTTTTTCTTAAAAACAAAATAATAAAACGAAAACTACGGTACCGCATAATCTCATCGTTACTTCTTATCATTTTATCATATGCGTTAAACTTTTTAATAGTTTTTTTTAGTTATAAAAAAGCCATTATTACGGTGTATCCTTACCCCTATATACAATAGGGTTCCACATGTCCATGTACTGCGCCTTTTGGCGACCGTGGTCCTCGGCGACGCGCACGCTCAGCGGCAACATCGCATTTTCCAGCATCTTGCCATCCAGGTTGGCTATGGCGGCCTGCGCCTCCTCTCCCTTAGAGTATCTGTGGACGAAACGATTAACTTAACCACAATCCATACAACAAGTTCTGTTCTATCTCGCGCATACTAAAAATCACTTCAACACTGCACAGAATCTAACGGCGGCCATTTTTAGTTTGTTTACAATTCTCGTGTTTCGGGTTATGGTAAATTAACCTTAAAATTGGAATTTGACAGTTTGATGACATCCCTGATAGAATAAGGTTTATTTTTAGCAAAAGAGGAGTAAAAGGCTCATTTGAAGCTTACAAGTGCCTCTGTAAGAAACACAACGTTTAAAACGATTATTAATAGGTAAGTATAAACAGCACAAACCCAAAGCACAAGAATTGTAAACAACCTAAAAATGGCCGCCGGTAAATTATGTGCAGTGTTGCAGTGATTTTTAGTATGAGCGAAACGAGATAGAACATACCTTGTTGTGTGGATTGTGGACTATACTTGTAAAAATATTTATTTTAAATTTTCCGAAGAATAGAATATTCTCTAACAAGTTTGGATTACAGCATATTCAGCTCGAGTGAAAAGTTTGTCACATGCGCCGAAGGCGAGTTTGATGGTTTCACGAGAGCGTAATATGCAATTCCAAACGTGTTTCAGACTATACTTTTTCTACGTTTCCAAAAAATACCATAGAAAAATAATTTAATTGGGAGAAAGTGAGGATGGATCGGTCTAAAATTTGTTAGATATTAAACACAGAGATGTCGCTACCAGTGTTTATTCCGTCATCCAATGATAATTCATTCTGTAATACTTTATATTTTCACATTAAAAAGTGATATTAGAAAGGTCATATTCCGTAATAGGAGTAGAAGAAAGTCATTCTTAATAACTTCTTTTGCTTGTTATATAAATACGATTCAAGTTGAAAAACTTCAATTTTGTTGTACAGGGTGCGCAAAAAAATACAATTGTATATTTTTAAATAACTTTTGAAAGTCTTATATGTAAGGAGAAAAAGACATGTAAGTTGTTACTAAGATATGTTATTAAAAATAAAAATAAAAGGTCCTAACTTGGGTGGTTTTGTAGGACCACTCATGTTAAAGTCTATTCAAATCCAAGCTGGACTAAATGTAAACACAATCCTCCGAATCGACAAATAAGAACTAGTAATCATGCGTCTGGGCGTTTTTGTTTAGTCCAGCTTGGAGTTGAATACACTTTATTATACTATTTTGTAGAAATTTACTACTATCTCATTTTGTGATTATGAATCAAGGTTGTTGCTTTCAACGGACATGTCCACAATGTCTACAATTATTTGTTAAAATTTTAAAAACTAATATCTTTAATTTTCAATATCAAATATGCATCAAAAACTCATTATATTAGCGCTTCAAAAATCTACAATTGTATTTTGTTTTGTTTTGCGCAACTTCCATTTTGTTATACACAAAATGGAAGTTTCTCATCGCAAATCTTATTTATATAACAAGCAAAAGAAATTATGAAGAATGACTTTCCCTCAAGGGCAAGGGCAGTTTTATAACATTTTAGATAATTCAAAGAAAGTTTTAAAACGGTTTAGGACATTTTCAGTTTAGACAAAATTTTCAGAACCTCATAAAAATTTTAATTCTACACAATTATATGACATTTAAGATAGTTTAAACTTAGGTTTAAGACAGTTTCATGACAATTTTAAGAAAGCTTTAGGGACACTTTTAGAGATTCAAAAACCAGTTCCAAGTTTTGTTGAAGGTTAATTTAAAAGCGGTTTTGGAACATTCAAAAAAGACATTTTAAACATTTATAAGAAAAAAAGACAGCTTAAGGATATTTTTAAGGTCTAAACTAGGGATGCACCGGAATTCCGGCGGTACCACTAAATCCGGCCGATCCGGCCAGTTGGCCGGAACTACCGTTCCGCTTTCCAGATATATTTTGTTATTGGTCAACAGAGAAGGGTGTGCGTGTTTCCTTGCTGTGGTTCCCCGACTTCTTTTTAATTTTTTTATTATTGGCAGGTGGCTGCTATTCTTCAATTGAATGAGTAGAATTGTTTTAATTTTGTTAACGCTAACTAAAAATTAATATTTAAATAAACAGTAATTTCTATCTAGGTAAAATTAATAGTAATAAACACTCTGCATACTGTAGCTAGTTTTAAAAAAAGTAAAAATAAATCAGCCTCAATATTTTCAATGTTTTACGTATAAAAATAGGCATGCACATACATTTTAAATTAAGGTCCCGATCCGGCCGGAATTCCGGCGATCCGGTCCGGCCAGCGGCCGAAATTCCGGTTCCGGCCGGATCGGCAAAATACCCGATCCGGTGCATCCCTAGTCTAAACCTTAGACACTACAATACAATACATGTATCAAAGTACATTATAAGTGTTTTTGCTAAACAAAAATGTGTTAACTACTCGTAGTTGGATCTTGACACTCGAAGTGGATAGACGCGTCAAGTAGTTAAAGATTCCTCTCCTAGCAGCGTATACGAGACAAACGTAATAAAGTTCCAAATACGAACCTAAGTATTCGGAAATATCGGTAATCGGTAATAAATAAATAAATAAACAAGTGCAAAAAGAGCGATAAGTGCAACAAGTGCAAAAAAGTGCAACAAGTGTGAAAAGTGCGGGAGATCCCCTGTTAACGCCGTAAAAGAGTGCAACTGAATAAGTAATTAAGGCCAACCGGCCCACCTGGTCAGCAGGGATTGTCACAACCAAAGCCTGCCAAAAACCTGCAGGCGAGGTCAAGAAACAACGGACAGACCGTGAAAGACACAGCATCAGGATTATAGCCTAATAATCAAGCTAAGTAATTTTTCTAATTGCATGTCTTATTAACAAAACCATTTTATTCCAAAAAATCTAAAGTAAAACGTATTATACATCGAAAAGTAAATTCCAAGCTCCCCAGCTGGCACCAGAAAATAAACATTCCTATTGAGACAGACAACACACAAATCATTACATAAACAAAACAGAAAAGGCAGATAAGACATTAGCTCCATCCCCAAATAAACACTCGACTAACACCATAAATAAACGCCAAACCATAAATAATAAATAAACACAAACCATAACAAACATGGAAATAGTAAACACGATTGACCATTCGGTGGGAATAATTAAAATTCCATCCGACGGAAATTGCTTAGTGGCCAGCTTGGCTCATCAACTAGATAATAGCCTGACTGGGTCAACAATAGAAAGTACACACGCATTAAGACAAAGACTAAATAATTACTTACGAACACACATTGAGACATACAGCCCATACTTACAGGATGCGACCCTTGACCAACCCCACCGCTACGCGCATATTAACGACTGGGAACGTAAAACAGAGGCGTACCTAAAGGACCACGCACAAAACAGCTTCTGGTTGGGTTTGGAAACAATAATAGCAGCATCGGACATATTTAACGTCGCAATCGAAATACATCACGAACAGGGGCGTACTGACAAGATATCCTTCAGACATAACAATAGCAACCGGTCAATCGCAATTTGTTACAGACTAGGCAGGACAGGAACTTACAATCACTACGATAGTATAATACATAACTGGCCAACATGGACACAAGCCTCGGTGCCCTGCCTAATAGAGGTAGAAAAAATAACCAATATAAGAGCCTGCGGCAACGGGGAATACACGCAAACACAATCGACCGGAAACGGGGCGACAATTTTAGACAGTAGTACACAACAACACAAGATAAAAATAGGGACACTAAACGCAAGGGGCTGTAGGCAAGCAAAAAAGAGAGAAATAATTAACGACACACTATCCCAACTAAACCTAGACATAATAGCACTACAAGAAACATTCATGACAACCGGCCGCGCAAAAACAAACACGTACGATTGGTACTTAAGCGGAGGACAAAACAATTCGACTCGACGGGGAGTAGCGATACTCCTAAGACGATCTAAGGCCCTCCAAACGACAAAATTCCACCCCATCTCAGACAGCATTGCTACAATAGTCCTAGCCTGTAATAAAAAGAGACTTTGCGTAATATTCACACACATTCCGTCGGACAAACGTAACATGAAGACATACAGCGAGTTAACAAAAAAAATAGACATAAACAACAAAAAAGGGACAATGATAGTTATAGGGGACTTCAACGCACATCTAGGGAAAACATTACACACAGACAAAGATAAACTCACGGTAGGCAGGCAATTAGTACACAGCGAAACCAATGAAAATGGGCAAGGGCTTATTAACCTGGCTCAGCTGTTTAAGCTAAATATTCACAACACCTTTTCAAAACACAAGTCAATACTAACAACATGGCGAAATAAATCAACCGAATCGCAAATTGACCACATGCTTTGAAACAGCACTATCGGGTTTCTTTACAAAGCCTGCAAAGCTACCTGGCCACTAGACATGAGGACAGATCATAAATTACTTTATTGCGACCTGATACAGACGCCAGCCATAAACGATAAAGAATATCAGTCCCCCACAATAAAACCGACAAAATGGTATACTGAGCGTTTAAAAGACCCTACTGACAATCTTAACTACAAAAACGCAGCAAAAGAGATACTACTAACACACAATCCCGACCTTAATAACGTATTAGAGACATGGACAATCATTAAAGAAAGTCTACAGTTAGCGGCCAACCTCACTCTTAATAAACCGTCAGAACCGCTCCCCAGTAACATCATCATAAAATTATTAGACAAGTCAAAAAAGGCGTCGGAACAACACAGAAGAAACCCGACCACACAAACGGCCCAAACAAAACGCAACGCGATAGCAGAAAAAAACATTGCACTAAGCGAAAACAAACTTGCCAAATGCTACAATTTTTTTAACAACTTAAACGACTACGAGCCCGCTAAAAGAATCTCACAAACATACAAATTTATCAAACAATTCAGACGGACACGTAACCAAGCGCATACTACATATATCCCCCTCGCTACCTGGAAAAAAAAGTCGGTAGACCTTGCTACACATTCCACGACACCCTGGCGCAGACAATCCAATTCTCACAAACCGACCTCGCCAGCTGG